AAATTTCACCTCTACAAAAAGTATATCTTCATATTTTCAAGGGTATTGTATTTTTTTTTTAAATATTTTTTTACCTAAAATTTTCCTGGAGACTAGAGAACCTATATATTTGAGGGGTCATACCAAGTTTTGGAGATGATAATAAAACTTTTAAACAAAATCCTATTGAAGAGATGACAACTTCTATCTAAAGGGTCATAAGTTTTGGAATTTTTAAAATCTAACATTTTACTACAAATATAAATCCAAAAATCTAATTACAATAGTAAGACTTATTTCAATCTTAAAACATTTGGATGAAAAATTAAAGTAAAACAAGCAAAATTAATGAATTATTCATGGAACTCAATTTTAATATTTATTCAATTTTTCATATAAAATATAAATATTCTATATTATTAAAAAATCAAGAAATGCATATGTTGAAATGAATTCTCAATAGCATAATTAACATCTACTACAATCAATTCCAAATCTACACAAAGTCCTAACTTCTATTTTTCAGAAATGCTCAAGATACTTTTATCGATTTTGCAGTATTTAACTTAAACTTTGAGTAATAGAAATTCAATATTAACAATAAAAAAATGATAAATTGCACTTATCACATTAGAAATCCAATTACATTTGTATGTATAGCTCCTCACAAATGCTAATCGTAAAGAAAACTTTGCGCTGAATGCCTTTATGATCATGAAGTGAATGTCAAACAAACAATTCCGATCAATAAATTTCAAGAAATGGCCATCAAGAAATTAAAAGAAACCAAGCTAAATGATACATCTGAACTAACCAAATAGAGAATGGCCTTTAAAACCTTACTCTCTCAAACTGATTAAATGATGAAGAAAATTTGGGAGGACTTGTCACAATCAATCAAATAAGTTTACGATTGGATTGAAAAGGAAAACTAATCATACTTAAACCTCCTCAATGAAAACACTAATCTAGCTGAATCCTCTTACACAGATTTAGAAAAATTAGTAAACATTGTAGAAGGAACAACTTTAATAGATTGGAATGCTTCGAAGAATTCTTATAATAAGGAGTTAGATAAGACAAAGAGCTGGTGGGACCAACATATAAAGGCCTTTATTGAGAAGTCTAACGAAGGAATCCAATAGATCCAATCATTAATTAAGTAAGTATTATATATACTATCTCTAGGGAGGATGAAGAAGAAGTTTATTAAATGAAAGAAGATCTTTATGAGATGCTAACCTACATCCAGGATATAGATGAATCTCTCTATTAGAAGATTCTTGATATAATTAGATAAGAGAAAGTTTCAGACATTATTGGATTCCTGTCGAAGAAAAACAATCAACAGTTTTTTAATTCTTTAATCAACAAGTAAGAGAATATAATGGAGATCAAGAAATAAGTAAAGAAAATAACTAATGTCTTGAGGAATATTTAGGATCATAAATTTAGTAGGGATGATTATTCGTTAGAGACTGATGAAAATGCAAAATAAGATCTAATAAAGAGGTTGAAGGATAACAAAGGGAGCAAAACTTTTATGAAGTTTTTAGTTCTTCTCACAAGTATTGACGGTATATTTATTCAATGTGGATCGAATGCATTAAACTTATTAGTAGGCATGAAGGTAGATATTAGGAATGAATCATTTGAGAATATAAAAATAAATAATACTTCTTTGATTGGAGGAAATTTTTTAAGGTGTAATTTGAGTGGATCTGAGTTTGAAAATGTAGATATAAGCGGATTGAATTTGAATGGTGCTTAGATGTTCAATTGTAAATGGAAGAACATTAAAGTCCATGAATTGAATAAGTTGGATGGTCATAGCGGAACTGTCTGGTCAGTCTGTTTTTCTCCTGATGGAAATATATTAGCTTCTGGTAGTTATGATAAGTCTATCCGTCTATGGGATGTCAAAACAGGATAATAAAAAGCCAAATTAGATGGTCATA